CCTTAAGGAAGATTAATTGTAATTTTCCGAGCTTGTCCGTAGATATAATTATTTCCCATCCCACCCTAATTTATATGGATACATTCCCAGATATAAGGTGATTTTCGTAACTCGCACTACAAAGGAATAATATGTAGGTTTGGTATACGATAGGAACAGTGAATATGGGGCATTTTGTTTACTCTAAAGCAGAGTAGGTTTCAAGGAAACTACAATGTAATTATATCTACGGACAAGCTCGGGAAATTACAATTAATCTTCCTTAAGGTAAGTCGATTATTTTTTAATTTTTCCTAATACATATTCTACTTTTTATATTTATATTATTAATTTTAAACATTTACCTATTTACCTACTCGTTTAAAATTTATTTTATATTTCCTGTTTCATTTTTATGTTATATTTTCTTTTTTTTAATACATAAAACCCATTGACCCATAAAGGATTTTAAACTGAATTTTTGATGGAAACTTAATTATTAGTAATTTAAATATTAAAAATTTTATTTAGTATCATACATATTCCCCTTAAATTTTTATTCAAAAATGAAAAATACAAATTTTGATATCAAAAAAGTATCAAACAGAATAATATACCTTAGCAGTGTATAAAATAAAGAATTTTGGAATATTTTTGCAATTTAAAAGTAAATTTTATTTTATCAACCCTTACCCAATAATCATTTTGAAATCAAATATCTTTTAAAAATCATTAACTGTGATATTATTATTTTCGACAAATGCAAGTTTATGCATTATTTTTCGTTTTTAAGAAAAAGAAAGACAAAATCTATAAATGCTAAACATACCGAAAAAGGTACCAAAAATTGTTATTTCCAAATCATCTCCATTACTAAACATGAAAGAAGTTGAAGAGGAACTCATAAACAAAAATCGTTTTCATTTCTTATCACCACAACATTGCGTAAAAAAATGTACAGATTCAAAAAATTCTACATTAAAGGAAAAAACAGTTAATATTCCTACGACAATTCAAGAAGAAAGCGAAGACGCTTGCATTACAGACCCGCAAGTTGATTATGAACCAAAGACGCCCGATTCAACTGGCGAATTTAATGATCTCGAAAAAAATGTGCTTGGAAAAAAATTTGGAATCTCCCATAACTAGCATAAGTAATTTAATGCAAGTCACAGGTATCAACAGCATCGTCAAGAGAACAAAATTAAATTTTAACACCAATTCAGAATTAAAAATTGCAGTTAATGAAATTGAGCAATTAATAAAAGATGAAGAAATAAGACATAAGCAAAATATGTTGAAATTGAACAGTGTACTGAAAAGTTTTAGCTGAAACTCCGAACAGTATAAGTTTAAGGCAGATGTCTAAAAAGTTGCAAAGTCAGTGTCTATTACTGCAAGGCACGCCGAACCAAAAGTGATTTATCACTGACTGCTATTTTATATTGTATATAACAAGTCTTTAGTTGTTGTCAACTTTGTTGTAAAACAACTTTAGCGATGTGTGCTTGTTTAAGTTTGATTTATTATACCTATTATTATTATTTATAAAATAGGCAAGTTGTTAAAATAAAGTGTTGTTAACTATTATAAAATTGATACCTTCTGTAATTTTATTATAATTATAATAATCACACAACTGCATAATATTACTCAAATTTCTATATGTAAAATTATATCTGCTGTGGCGCACTTTAAAACTAGAAAGCTACTAAACCAATTACAATTATCTGCATTATTTTATATGACACAGATTTAAATTGCCGCCCTAAAACAGCATTAAATTTTTATCGCCAATCATATACACAATTAACAAATTATATAATTAGTAAATACATGCATGCATATATGCGTTAAGTTCTCTACAAAACAGATAAATATTAATAGTAAAACCAATAAACTATATTTCTAAATGGCTATTAGAATAATAACATCACTTTCTTAATTGTAAATTGATTTATGTTTAAAATGTAATTGACTTGGGTAATAGAATCAAAACAATGTTTTCTGTAACACATGTTTTGTATAAAAAATGTACAATCGCGGTTATGATAGTAAGTTTGGGAGTTAGGTACTTAAAATGTATTTATTTCATTTTAAAATCTGCCATAAAAAGTCCATAATCAACCTTTCTATGTAAGTAAATACATAAAAATATTAATAACATAAAAAGTTGATTCATTTTATTATTCTTTCGTTAAAATTATCTATTATCATCATTTTATATATGCACTGTAATGAGTTTTAAAATAAAGTAATTTGCTCTAAAAAAAAGTAACAAAATGGTGTACTTATAGTTAATTTATAAGTAAACGCCTAATGGGGAGAGATGAGACATGAGAAATATACAGGTTATCCGAAATTGAAGTCTCTATATCAGCATATCCATGAAAGTTGGAAGGAATGGTTTAGATAATTATTTGATGCTTATCTCGGCTTCTTTTTAAAAAAGTTTTAAAGTTAAGTATGTTGGTACCTACTATTTGAGTTGCTTAAAAAAAATTAAAAAAATGTCTTTTGTTTCGAGTTATTTAGCGTGTTTCTTTCGCATGACGGCCATCTTAAATATTATTTTATAAATCGCGAAGGGCATTCAACTGCTAAAATATGTTATTCATCTCTCGTCCAAGCTTAGCAGACAAGATATGTCCAACAGCATTTGAAACGGGTATTCCAAAGCCAGCTAAAAGTTCGTAGTCAGAAACATAACGAGAGTCTACAGAAATTTGAGTTCGATATCAAAATATTGCGGCATCTGGCCTATCTACTGGCGCCCAAAGATTTTCTAGAACAGATCGGCATACAGACATTCATTGATGGACTACAGAAAGTGGAAATGCAGCAAGCTCTTCGGCTACAACACCAAAAGACGCTGAGTGAGACATTAATTGCAGCCCAAGAATTTAAAGGAGCAAAAATCATATCTAGATCTTCTCGCGCGAAATCAAGAGAAATTAAATTCCAAAATAGTGAAGAGGCCACTACTAATACTATGGTGACAAAATTAACCCCCAAAGATAAAAAAAATTCGTTCAATCTACACCTTATTTTCAATATACATGGTTTTTATTTTTTTTTTCTTATCATTACTTTTGGATCCCTTCAACAATTTTGAATACGGCATTTTTTAGGCTGATTTGAAAAAGTTGCAAAGAAAAAGGTAACGTAAACGAAGCTTTCATCTGCAAAAATGTGCCTTCTAATTTAACTTTCCAAAATTAACCCCTAGGAAAAAATCCAATTTTTTTTTAACGCCTGTATTTGGGACACTACTTTCTACAAATACTTCAAATTTCAATTTTTTACGTCAAATAGTTTCTAAGTAAAATGCCTATGCCAGATGCACATATGGACGGACCGATAAACATTAAAAATAATTTAAAAAATCGGTATGGTGTAAATATTTCTAAACTCTTCGAAATATCTGTATTTTTTTGAATCCGACTCTACATATTAACAGTTTACGAGAAAGCGATACTGTAAAAATACTGATCCGAGAAAGTTAATAATCTTGTTTGAAGATAATATACATATCAAAAGTTCTTTCAATTACTTAGTCTACATAGTTTACAATATATTTAATTCAGACTCATAAATTATAAATTAATCATTTAATAATAAAACAACGAATTCAATTGAATTTACAATGTTCTTCCGACTTGTATCTATCGGTTGCGCGATTACAACGTATTGACACCAGTTGCATTTATCAAGTATTCTCAAAACCAGTAGCCATAAATTCTGGTATCAAATATGCATCAATCAATATTTATTCAACGGTAGTTATTTTATTTGCTTATGCATATTAACTTGTAGAATGGACATTTTAAACAATGCATTTCCGTATTATCTTTTCAAACAAATACTAACTGGTTTTAATCATAGAGGAATGTAAAGATGAAGTCGATATTTTGTCAATATTCGTATTCAGCATTCATTTTTATAGCACCTACTACTAATGTTTCAAATCTAAATTACAGTTTACAGGAAGGTTTTGAATGTAGAAATGATAAGGAAAGCTTAACTCACACTTTAAAAATTGTTCAAAACAATGTAAAGTAAAATAGTGATATATCTTTTTAGAAAGAATAAACATGTATTGTACGCTTCATTTCCCTGGGAATTTTAAGACAAAAATAATTCTTTTCGAGACATCGACATATACTTTTTTGCTAATTTTGTATTTTCTTTTAAATTATTTAAGAACTTTACATGAATAACCGTAAAGAGTTCACTTAATAGGGGAAATCTGGTAAAGGGATCTCAAAAGGATACTGAAATTTATCGATAATCAAAGTTTTGATGTTCTTTGTACAGATTTGTATCTCTCTCAGTAGAAGACCCATGTTTATTTTGACTTTTTTTATATAGGTATTTTATGTAAACCAAGCTCCAAAATGTGTATTGTAAAGCGCAGCCTGATTTGCACAAAATAAAGATATCGAAGAATATTTAATCTGAAGAAATAACAATTTTATATAAAAAACTGAATTTTTCTAAAAATCTAATTCGATTTTTGTTGTTACCCTTTAATAAGTATCTAATTATAAAATTTTGTATTACATTTTACATGTTACATTTTGTGTAACATTAATTAAAGGGAAAGTATTATTTGTCTTCGTATGCCTCTAATTTGAATTATAAAGACAATAATTTGATTAAAATCTTTTTAAATTTTGACAAATGATATAAAATGAAATATTTTTAAAGTAGGCTATAACTATCAATGACATAGATACAAGTCATGTACATGCACGGCTCTAAATAAATCCAAACACACGCTCAAAAAGAAGAAGAATTGTAGACTACAATAAACGTAAATTATCACAATGCCTACTTTAGAAATATCTTTAGAAATTACTTTAGAAATCGTAAAACAATCACACAACTATCCCAAGTCAACTACAATTTTTAGCATAAACCAATTGTATTTAATACGTCATACTTTAAATAAAACCTTTAATAGCCTGTTTAGTAACATTATGATAATTGTTCCAAGCCTCATCATCAAACCGACCTACCTCCTTCAATCTTCTTTCTAATTCTTCCTCGTCTATCTTCAAATCTCCTTGTATCTGAACCGGTATTATAGTTTCTTTACCATCTACGTCTGTAACTTTAATGATTTCTTCTCTCCTTATATCGTTGTCTCCTTTATTTTCGCCAACGGTTTCGGAACTTAAGACGAAAGAAGAAACTCCCAGGGTGTGGCTTTGTTGGACTTTAAGATGAGTGGTTTCGATCACTTCTCTGACGATTTTACCGGGAGGGGCCTGTACAATAATAAAACTGTTAAATGATTAAAAGTTGAAAGTACTTAAAGTTGATAAAACTCTCTTTCAAAGTTAGCTTGGAATCATCTTAAGCCAATCGATAAAATCTGAATCCAAAATTATTAATATCAATAGTTTTAAAAGGCGAAATTATCATAAGATATAAAAGCACAGAGCCTGAAGTAGACAGGCCATACTTACGAGAATAAACCAGAAAAAAATTAAAAAAATAATAACGCAATGGATCTCAATGTAGAAAAAAACCAGGAAAAAACGGCGAGAGTATGTAGAAGATAATACAAAAATACAAGGAATAACAGACTGGGAATCAAAATGCAAAAAATACGGGAGCAAGAATAACGAATGAAATAAGTACTTATCAAAATGTGTAACATTTAAGAAGAGTAGTAATCCACATCAAAAAATGGAAATTAAATGTATTATGCGTTAGCAATAATCAAAAGATTAAACTAAATGACAAGCATTTTTTGGCAGATAAAACAAGGCCAGTTATTATTTAAATCAAGGTACTTTAATTTCTGCATTCCACGACACCTTTTAATCAACTATGAAGACAGTCTCCAAGATGCATCACATAGTTACGAAGGAAGGAACTCTAACGCACAGACTACTATAATTTGGTAAAAAACATCGTCCCCTGATAAAATTATTTTAAGCACATACCTCAGGCGAAGGTTTTAAAACATCTTTGGCTAAAGGAAGTTCGGGAAGTCCAACTGCTAAAACCATTTTTTGCTTGGTTACGTCTTTGCCAAAGTCTTCTTTGCCATGTTCCCACCAGGGAGAGTAGCGATTTTCACATTCTGAGGCGGTGTTGTAGGAGGAAGAACGAGAATGTTGCAGAGTGCAGTCAGATGCTGTTAAAAATTCTTCGTCGGATTTAAGCTCTTCTGGTCTAAGCGATTTCTAGAAAAAAAAAGTTAAATTGTAACAAAGGAAAAAGGCAAAGTCAAACCACTAATGATATTAGATTTTCAAAAATATTTTTTTATTCGCTCGTTAGATCTTTCAATCCTTTATGATCATCATCAGGAATATTATAACAATGTAGAATTTTAGGTGTGTTGTATATTTTTTATAATAGTTAAAAAACAAAATTATTTAAAAAAATACATGTCTCAAATGTAATTGGATATGATGAGGATAAAAACTAAAAGTCAATAATATTTATTCAAAATGTTATTGCAAGTAGCTTTTCTCTATAAGGTCATCTTCAGACCTGCTATACAAAACTTTCCACCTCTTCTTTATCACTAAAGTTATCTTAGCGGGACATAGTTTTGTTAAAAAATATATATACATATATATTTTTCAACATCCAATGTTGGTTTAATACCTCTCTATCTTCTGCTCACTACATATGAATGTTTCGGCATTTAAGATTGACACTTAAATTTTTAAAAAGTCAACTAGTTAGAATTACAGCTGAAGGCAACAGAAACAAAAATAAGTTTTTGATAATTAATACTATTGATGTCAAAAATGTATTAAATACAGCTCCATTGGGATTGGTAATAAAAGCCCTAAAAAAACAACAAATAGAAATATATCTGATCAAGTTGATGTGTAGCTACCAAGAAAATCGAAAAATTGTAGTCGGAGAAAGGAAAAAAATTAAACACAACATTCGAAGTCCTACATAGCTTATTATTTGAATTCACACTTGGAACTTCTTTTATGAGAAAAGAAATACCGCGACCTTAGACTTTGCAGGCGATTCAGCTTTGATTGTTGCTAAAAATGAAAATGAAAACATTATCAGATGGGTACTGCGAAGAATTGGAATATGGATGTCAAAAAATAAATTACAGTTATCGCCACACAAAAAGCTATTGTTCCAGTAAGTATAAGAGCGCTAAAAAAAAAGATCGACTACAAAAGAAGTCTTAAACTAGGAAAAAATATTGGACACAATATAAATATCCGAGTCAATGCCGAATATTGGAGAGCCTAAAGCAGGAAGAAGAATAGTTCTTAGTAATTTAATAAATTCGATATTATTGTATAGAGGACCAGAAGCGTGGAAAGAGTAAACATAAGTCCTTAAATACAGGAGAGTAATCAAGACTACCCAACATAAAGAGATACTAAGAATTATGTGTGTAAACAGGACAGTGTCAATAAAGGTCATACAAATAATAGTCTGTTCATCACGAGCTCTAAAGAAGCGATCGTATGACAAAGGAGCCAACCTGCGCAGCAAAAAAAAAGAGCACAAGAAAACATAATGGAGAAGTATCAGGAAAACGGAATCCAGAAAACCATGAGAGCACAAGGGACAGAGAAAAAAAGGAAGTCGTGCCATTGATAGAAATGAAAAATGGACCTGTACATAATATTATAATAATATATAGGTATAATAATATTGCATAATAACGAGGAATGCAGTTATTGCGATTCTTGAGTGGATAGTTTTTAGTCGATAAGAATACGACAGTGTTTGGTTATCGGGCAAAAAAAAAAACAAAAATAAAACAAAAAAGAACAGAAAAAAACAAAAAAACAAAAAAAAAACAAAGAAAAAACAAAAAAAAAACAAAGAAAAAACAAAGAAAAAACAAAGAAAAAAACAAAATAACCATTTCGGATTTCACATAATTATATATTAATATGACATATAGTTTTTATTATACTTGTTTCCAATTAGATCCATTCGTGTTATTAAAAATGTAGTTTAAAAAACTAAAAAACACGCTTTTATAATACATCGAACTAAAAAGTGAAAAATAAATATAGTTTAAAAAAACTAAAAAACAGCTTTTAGAGCATATCAAACTAAAAAGTTAAAAATAATTTTTCAAATAAGCTTAAAACAATAATAAATGGAAAATACTAGTATTATTGTGAAAAAAGCGTCGGGCGCTCGATATACGAGAAATATGGACAAAGCGCCCCACGCTTTTTTTACTTTTGAGTGTTCTTATTAGATTGGAATTATTGAGAAGCTGGATAACCTCAACGTTCTCATGTTGGAGCAGTCGTTGTTGGTGACTACTGGTAAAATTTTCTATTATATTTTCAACAATTTCCACTTTAAGGTCCCTATGAAGATCACTATTGCGGCAGTACCAGGGTGCATCAACGATGTTTCTACTTTATTTTGGAAACTTTAAATAACTTGGATGTTACTTTTACTGGCGCTGGACACCATGCGTCTATACGGGTTACAGTGTCTGCCTGTAAAGAAGCAGTTTGTGGTATGTGGATAATTTGGAATTTTTTCGTAGCAACCAATGCATTCTTCTGTAATTTACGCCAAGTTCTTTGAGTTTCTATTTAATATTGACTTTCCAGCGAAGTCTAGCATCAAGTGTCGTACCTAGATATTTTGCTATATTGGCAAAAGGAATCTGTATGTCATTTATTCTAATAGGAATATATTCATTTTGTTTATGGCTAAAGTTGATATGTATAGATTTGCCTTTATTCAATTTTATTCGCCATATTTTCGCCTAGATATTAAACTGGCCTACAGATTTTTGCAATTTTCTACTAACGTCTTTGTGATTAGCAAAGATTGCAGTATCATCAGCAAATATTTCAATAGTACTGAGTTCAAGATTAGAAATATCTGTCGTATACAACAAGTAGAGTAATGGAACTAATACACTACCTTGAGGTAGTCCTCTTTTCTTCTATGGACTTCTCGATGTGATTCTATAAACTTGGTGGTTGGTCTGTAACTTCATGAGGAAGTTTACCTGGTTTAGGTATCATTATTACTTCTGCCACCTTTTACATATTTAATACGAACCTTATTCAAAAGGGCGCATTGATAAGATTGGTCAAATTCAACAAAAGATTTTAATAGATGCATTTTCAAAATTTCCCCATTAATAAGGTAAAATCCAGGAGCATTTTTCTTATTTATATTTGTTTGGATTTCGATATATAATTTTTTTGGAGAGGTAGGTTTAATGACTGTGTCTTCTTGTGCTTGTTCCATCCAGTCTTAAAAATCTTTACCATTATTGGTTTGCTTTCTGCAAATTGTTTCGGGCCTAGCTTAAATCTCTATTTTTGATTGATGGATTATGTATAGAAAGCCTTTTTAATCGTTTGGTATCTTTGGAGAGTGAACAATTGGTACTTTTATCGTAAGTAAATTCACTTAAGTATTCGTAAATCGACTCATTTTTATTGCACCATATTTCACGTTTTAGCTGTTGTGTTACATTGTTTAAAGTTGTCTTATCATCTAGTGCGACTTAGATGAACAGTAACAGTTCAATAAAAAGGTTGGTTTTGCCTTACACAATTGACTGATACCAGATGACAAATATATCAGCCAATACATAAGTTGAAAATATGCTCATCTCTTTTAATTTCTGAAAATATTTTTAAAAGAAAACTTACAAAAAAATAGATAATAAAATAAAAACAAAGGAGAAAACGATGAAAATGAAATCTGAAAATACGAAGCTGTTAAAGTGTATGATTTTGAAGTTGTGCAATTAAAAATTATCTTTTATTGTATGAATGTTAATATTATTTTAAAATAAACTACTTAGTAGATATAAAATCAAATATTTATTATTTCAGGTGTTCAAACATTAAAATGTAATATTAAAATATAATTAGGTGTTAAATGAAAATAAATATAAGTAACAAACCTATAATTTCAGCACAAAATTAATCTAAATATTGTTTAAAACTCAAAAATATTATAATTTACTTACTGCTCATTATTGATAATTGGATTTAATTAACCTAGTTGTCACTGGCAAGCAACCAATATGAAAACAAATTTATTGGCTTTCTTCGAACATTTCTGTAACAACTAATATGGAAAGTAAGCCGGCACACACCAACTGCCTACTATATTACATTAATTGAATAATTTTCAATAATATTACCATAATAGATAGATGCATTCAACACGTAATATTTGGTTGTAAGGGTTTTTTAAAAAGCCGGTTCCTTTCACGTATGTTTCAAACTGCAGCTATATATACCGGAGGCTGATTATGTTTATTATCAGTCAACTAATATCGTTTAACAAATACACATAGGTACAAATTAGCCATGAAGGGTGTTACCGTAAGTGTTTATTATTTTTTTTGCGATAATAAGAATGAGAATATTTATTAAATAATAATAATATGATATTAATTAACATATTAAATACACAGCTCTGAAGATGATTAAAGTTTATATTTTTAAACTTTTTGGTTTAACAAAAATATTATCAAAAATAACTTCAAGAAGTTCAAAACCATTAATTTTCGATTTAGATAAAAAGTAATTTTGGATTTTGTCAATTACATATTTAATAGGTATTCCATTAGCTTTCTCCGTCTTCTTTTTTTCTTATTCGTGGACCGTTAATTGTACTAAGAAGTATCATAATGAATTGAATTTTTTCTTTAAACAAATATATGTATTATCATTGATTGTTTGTTTTTTTTATATTTGATCTTGGTGATCTCAATATTTTGTATTTCAAATAACTTTTTATTGTCAGTTGTTTCTATCAATATGAATTAGTGTGTGGTCAAAGCCCATTCGTACCTAGATCAGTTATTTCCTCATCATGTATTAATGCTCGATGTAATCAAGAATATTTCTGAATATGTTTTCATGATTTATATTCTTCTGGTAATGTATATTAGATCTCGAAATGTTATTAATTCCCCTAAATGTTTTGCTCTTAACTCTTCATCCTTTATAAATGTATAGGTCCATAGAGTTCCAACTAGACGTTTATGTTCCTTTTTTACTTGTTCATTTAACATATATTTCACGTTTATATAAAATACCATATGTGAGTGGGTTATAGTCTATTTAGATTCTGATTCGCAGCTCCCTTCCTGGGATCCAAGTACTCCCTCTTGTCACGGCATACATTCAAGAGTGGCCTTGTTAAGTTCTTCCAGGGCTTGATATAATTTTGTATTTATCGTCATATTATCTAATTCTTGTTCTGTTCTCTCTTTAATTTGCATAAAATTCCAAAAGTGCAAGTTATTCAAGTTTAGATCTATCTATCTTGCTAGGACTACATATTTCTAATTCGTTAAATAAGTTTCATTGTGTATTTCTTCTTACATGTTGTCTGACTTAAGTTGAATTCTACAAATTTTGACTTGGTTGAGCATTCGATTTCTTTCGGTTCTTAATTGAAACTTAATTGTATGGTCCTTCCTATCTTTCCTAACAGTATTTCTATTCTTTTTACTCCTAGTTATTGTACTAATTTAATGTATTTTTCAACTTCTTTTGACTCAATTAAATCTTCCAAGTTTCTTTTTGTCGTTTTGTTTTTTATTTTCTTACTGCATTATATACTTTTGTTTTTCCCAATATTATTTAATTTTATTTAAAATACAGGCGTTTTAGCAGCTTTGTAACATTGGAATGTCTCAAATTAATATTGGTTAGGAAATGCATATCTTATAATTAAATTATCAGTAAGTTTGCTGGATGTATATCGCTCCAGTTGTCTAATGGTTATGACGTTGGCACAGCAACCCAGAGGGCGCTGTTTGGGAACCTGCTTAGGTGGCATTTTTCAAAAGCAATTTTCTATTTTTTCTTAAACTTCCTTTCTTCATTTAATTTTACAATTTACTACTAAATATTTACTATTTTTCTTTTTAATTGAACTTCTTTATTAACTTCAAAACATATTAAAAACAGTTAAGATATTGGATTTCAAAAATATTTACATTTGTTACCCAAAAGTGTGAATATTACGGATAAATGAATTTACTTGATCGCATTTCAGGAGTTTTGGCAATTAAACATGTTTACACAATGAATTGTATAACCTTACTAAATACTTCAAACAAAAAAAAATGTCATTAGTACTATTTTCAATAGCAAAACTTAAAAATATCTATGCGGGATTTTGTTTTATCGTTTTTTTTTTTGTTTTATTAACCTAATCAGATTTCGTAGTCAATAAAAATATTATACCAAAATTTTAAATTAAAATATCTCAAGAAGTAATCAATACACCTTTTTTTATTGTGGATGTACTCTTAATATATAGGGAGTGTCATTCAAATTTTGAAGTAAGTGGGAATTACGTCCCCCTTTGCACTTTCTCGTACGAAATTCCAACTAAAACTTAACCAGAAATAAGGCCAGGCACACTGTGTATTATATTAGGCTTAAATAAAATTGATATTCACATTAAAAAGAGAAAAAGAAATAGTTATTTATGATACAATTTTATTTAGAAATAATATTTCGAAAAGTGTGGTGCGAGTTGAAACACTCTTTAAAAAACTAAAAAGGCATTTAACGTGTGTAACGTAAATATTTTTTAGAAATTCTGTTAAAATTCCAAAAAAAAAAGTAAAAAATTTCTCAAAAACATCAATTTAAAATATATAAAGGACAGTATTTCTATGGTGACAGTGAATTTGAAGATAAATAATCGAATGTATACTAGTACCCAGATCAAATTTCTAAAAATTGCATTTCAGAAATAATTTCAAATTTAAATAGTCTATATGTGTATTTTAAATTGTAAACACTGATATTAACAATTATTTTCCTCTCCTGTCAACTTTGACATTTTAACCAATCACACCGCAATTTACTTTACCGTTGGAACCAATCAGAACGAAATAAATCAACTATTTTCATTGACTATCTCATATTGACTATATCATGCAAGGTGCTTGATATTCGCCTATGTTGACAGCAACTTGCATACTTGATTATAGATGTAATATGCTACTGTCAAATAATAATAATTGTCAAAGTTCAAGCTAATATCTCGTAAAACGTTTCAAAATGAACCGAAAATTTAAGTTGTTTAAAAAAACTATTTTATTGTCTATTTATTTATGTTATAACTAGGGCTCTAGAAATAATCTTACTAAAAATAACCTTAATAAATTAGCGCCTATTTCTGTTGCAACTAGATTTTTCGTGTATTTTGTCTTGACATAATTTTGTCATTAATAATTAAAGAATAAAGTGCTAAAGCTTTAGGACTCTATTCATATTATTAATGACAGAATTATGTCTAGACAAATTGTAAAATACAAGAAAAATTTAGATCCAATAAAAATAGTCGACTATTTATCAAGGATCGTTATATTCCCTTGATTATTATTTAACTCTTTTTTCCAGATAATTGCCTTCCTAGTCATTTCAGTAGCCGCAGTCTATGGCCAAGGTGGTGGTTACGGAGGACATGAACTACCAGGCCTAGACTTAGGTGGACACGGACACGATCACCATGTACAAGAATATATTGACTACAGGGTGAGCTTATTTGTCTCTTGCATAAAGTAAACTAATTTATTCGAGCACATATTATTTCGTCCCCCATTATTTACATTACGTATATTTTCAGTTTATTAGAAATATTTGAGATATCTATAATGATCTATAAATTCTTAGAAAGTTCTATTTCATATCTCACGTCATGGGTTCTTCTATTTCGTTTATCAAGGCCCATCAGTCACAGGCTATTGCAGGGAAAAATTCCAGTAAGCCAACTATATAGTGTTGTCTATACAAGCAAGTAAAAAGGGATGAGGTTCTAGGAATGCCTACTGATATAGTTAGCCACAGTTATACACAAATTGGAAAGAAACATTCAAATCAAAATACTAGTCTGGAGATCCTGGAAACAGTGTGCTGAAATCTTTGGAAAATCGAAAACAACAGTGTTCCAGTACAAACTCATAGCCATACAACAGCTATGGCAAAAAGCAATTCTTTCACCAAAAATCAATTAACAACTGGCGAAAGACTGCCTAGAAGACCTTAAAGAGTGAATCAGTCAAAACAAAGTCACTTTAGCCTGGTTACCAGACTTCAAAGGCAATAAAAAGGATGAGAAACCATTACGAGAAGGCTCAGATATGGTCACGACAAGACCCGAATCGTTCTGCAGAATTGCTAAGGCATTTTTCGAGGTATTCATCAAATAATGGATGAAAAAGAGTCTCAAGAATGGTTAAACAACTATTCAGGATTTGGATAGGCCAAAGAGTTTATTGAAGAAACACTGGTTAATTTTACCAAAGATCTACTGGATCAAAAACGGCATAATTGTATGGAGAGGCCAATCAGTGTTTTCAATCTAGCAGAAAAACAACACTGTGCAGTTTCTGTGAAGTATATTTTAGTCAAGTGCCAGTGCAAAGCCCTGGCTAGGTTAAAGTGACTAAAACTAGGCGAAGAAAATCTAAAAACACGTAACTATATGCAAAAACCAACTGTCAAAGCTACTGACTAGCCACTGACAAGCTAAATAACGGAGGCCCACAAGCGTCCAACAACTATCAATGTTTTCCTTTTTTACATTTCTCTATTATTTTTGCACTAATTATTTTCTTGTACTTTCTTTTCTTTAATTTTCACTATAATATGTCTAAACCATTGTAAGTATAGAGGTTTCTGATAAAAATGGCTCATATTTTCATCATTTTTAATATGATCTTTTTTGATCGTCATATTTCTATGAGAATTTCAATTTGTCTTTCGTTTTTCTGTTGTAATACCCACGTCTCACTTGCGTGCAGTATTGATGGTACAACGTCATTATTAAAGACTAGTAAAGTAAAAATCTCTTTTCTAGGCTCCTCCACATTACCATTACGACTATGCAGTTCATGATTTGAAACACCACGACATCAAGAGCCAATACGAAGTCAGGAAAGGTAAAGAAACGAAAGGTCGTTACGAACTTCTTCAACCTGACGGTAGAAAGCGTATCGTAGAATATGTTGCCGGAAAGCACGGTGTCGACTACAAAGTCAGGTACGAAGGTAAATCAATTCATGGAGGCATCGGTGCATTAGGAGGAAGCTACTAGGAGAATTATGGAGATTTATGGTATCATTAGACTGGACCTACGAAGTTACCTATGTTGTATGTTGTTAATTGTTGTATTATATTAGGTTAAGTTGTTTTTTAGTTTTCGCAATAAAACTTGTTGACATAATCTATTATTTTATTTCTAATATTATTTACTTATCGATAACCTTTTTTCGTCTTTGTGTCGTCTAAAATATATCTAATAATTCTATCATTGTGAATATTATAAGACATTACGCATCAAGGTTAATTACGTACATGGACTGTACAATACTAGTTTACGGTTTATTTTTCAGGGGGGGGGGCTAAAGTTCCTAGAGGGGATAGGCGTCTAATATTTTTAATTAATCGCTTCGGTGTAAAAGTACTCTAAGGATAAAACTATACAAAAATCTGCGTTATAAGACAGAAAAAAGTCAGAAAATTCGATTTTTCCGAGTACTGAGTTGTAAAAATAATAAAACTGTCGTTTTCCATGCATCCGTAAGATATTGTTATTGCTTACCTCTGATAAATTTGTTGGTGGGTTCTCCATCTCCTTTCGCAGCGTCTCAGGCGAGATGTGGCCACTCAGAGACGATGTCGAAGTAGATATGGAAGTGAAAACTAAACAGTCCTGCTGAGCGCTTTGTAAGGTAGAGTCGAGTTCTTCTGCTAGCGCAGTAATTTCGTAAAGTCGTTCGGAAATTGCTTCGACTGCTATTTCATTCTTCGTTATGGAATCGCAAAGATCTTCAGGATCGTCAGAGCTTTTAGAAGCAAGCGAGCACAGAAATCTGAAACAATGAATATACCGTATGAGTATTGACTGTTTTAAAAGGTTATAATGTATAAAATTCATCATAATTTTTATGAAATTGTGATTTGTTGCAAATTAAAACAAATGGCGATGTAAATTCAATTTTTTTTTAATCTACTATCCTAAGAAATACGTCGGTAAAATGATACTTCTAGCAAAAACTTGATTTCTGTCACTGGTGAGAGAAAAACTTTCGTATTTAGTGAGTGCATATTTTTACAGATCATCCACCTCGTACCTAACAAGTTTTGGCAACCTATTATTTTTAATAAAACAAAAGGATGTTCATTAAAATCTAAATGCGTTTACTCCACTTTTATTAAATTAAAATCATTGTAAAATTATCAAAAAATGATGATGTTTGTTTGCTTGCTTTTTATAATTTTAATATTCATTATTAAAAACTGTCAATTGATAAATATAAAACAAATAGTTTTTTTTATCAATCTTGAGGTTAAATAAATACTAAAATACGAGGGCCATTCCCGTTCCACTCAGCCTATCTAGTAGGCAATGATATTTGCAACAAATTCTGGGTGACATTTCAATCTAGTTGTTTTCAAGTTTAGTTAGTGACAGTTGTCAAATATACCTGTTTGCCAGTTACATTAGTTTAAAATAATCCCATCACCAATAAGTGATGGAAATGAACAAAATTATTGGGGTGTAATTTTTTACATTTCAAGTGTGGCTTAAACCGTAAATAAAGTTTTGCGGATATCAATTTAACTAACTGTTTTAATTGGAAGTTTTTCCAGACTGCAAGGGATTGTACAAGTACACTTTGAGCCAAAGAGAAAAATCAAAATATATTTCTTCTTCTATTTTTCAATTTTACTCCTTTAATAAATTTTAAAAACTCAAAAATTCTTAATCCTTTAAAAATTTTAAATATTTTTTAAATTATTTTGTTCAGTACAACAAAAATGTGAATAGTCGTTCCTCTTACTAAAATAATACCTGAAGTGACCTGCACCTGTATGAGAACTCCCCTTTTATTAGTTTTGACATCATTTGCATATGTCGTGCTTATGAAGACTAGAGATAAGAAGATGAATTAGCATACTTAAAATACGGTCCCAAAAAACGCATACTAATTGAACTTCTATAATTGACCGCATGGGCGCTGGTAGTGCATACGTTATTCAAAAAACATGACTTCTTATGGGAATTATATATAATCTTGTCAAAATAATAAAAATAAACTTGTTTACAGCTAAATAAAGCACAGAACATACTATTGTATTTACTTCTAAATAAGTCTTGCATGTTTTAATTGATAAATTATTTTATTTTATCTATATAAAATATAAATTAGATGTATATGACCAAATTCGAAAAGGTTTCTTAATTGCTGAAATTTGATAAGTACAATTTTGTGGCAAAATTTTTTTGAATTGAACCAATATATAGTTTTAAGAGTAAAATAAAACACAGTTAACAGATATTGTTGTAATACAAGTATAAAGGGAGATTTGGGAATGTACATGGTATTACCTCATCCTTTAATTTCAGCTTTCCCCTTTTTATTTTGCTAACAGTACCATCAATAAAAATAGTCTCATAATATTTGATGTCTTCTAAAGAGTATAGAACAGCATCATCTCTAGAAAGTGCTTTATCGGCAATAGGAACGATATATATACTGCCACTGTTCTAAACGTTTAATATCCTATAAAAAACATTTACAATGACAAAATTGGGGTCAAAAAAACAAAAATAACAGTAGCAACTAACATTGAAACTCTATAAAAATACATTTTCTTTTCTAGTAAGTTAAATTTAATGCATAATTATTGTTGTTTGTAAGTCAGCATCCGTAAATGTAAAATGTTATATTATAGAAACTTATAATAAAATAAACTACACTTCGTAAGATTTTTTTTAGAATTTAATTTGAATTCATCCCCATTTAAATCTTTGTTTTCCAGAAGATTTCAAGTCAATATCTATTTGTTATAGAATTTTTTTTTATTTCAACCCCTTCTTAACCCTCCATTTTTATTCAGAAGGTATTTTTTAAAGAATGAATGGGCTTCATTCTACTACATTTACTAAACATTTCATGTTGGTATCGCTTGTGGTTTTTAATTTCTGATTTTTTTTTATTTCAACCCCCTTATCTCTCCATTTTTATTCAGATTTTTTCAAAGTCAATATCTTCGTCGCTTTATGAAGCTCGACTTTTTCTAATAATTGCAAGTTGATAACAGTTTTAGCTCTTGAAATAGATTTTTTTTATTATTTTAGCCTCCCTTAACCCCCATTTTTATTCAGATCTTTTTCAAAATCCATGAGCACCGTTCAAAAAATTTTTGGGTGTGGAAATTCTTATATGCTGTGTCCAAAACGCCATAGGCTATAGTCGAAAGCCATGATGAATAAATCAAAAATCAAGGAGGGGGGGGGGCAGACGCAGAGCTTAATTTCTTCTGAAAATTTCAAATTTCGTTTTTGACTTATGGTGTGGAAAAAAACGTAACATCGTATGGACAGATACATTTAAAAGTTGTTTAAAATTTGATGAGAAGGATATTGGTTCCTCGAAAGTAAACCTGTAATACTCTTCACAGACTACTGTGTGAACAGTATAATAGTATAGATTACTCTAGCATTACATACTAACTTTATGTTTTTTTTTTCTCTCTCCTGGGCTCGTCTGACTATGTGTCTCCGAATAACACTGAAGCCTATAGGCTTATTGTGTTTTACCCCATGTTAGTTCGTAGCACCCACTCTATCACCTTTGTACCTTGTACAAGTTTGTACAGATCCTTGGGTGAGTGGGTTCTATACGTTGTTGGATCAACCTGGGGTTGTCCAAAAGAGCCTGGTTTCTTGTGACATAGTCGGCACATGAGTTCCCCATTGTACATGCCAATTTTGTTCAAGTGTCCCTTTACTGGGGCGTGCCCAGTCATGAACCCTGTTATCACTTTCAACTGGTTCCTATTGATTAAGAGTAGTTCTCCAGTTCTTTTGGGACATGGTCTGCCTATGAAGGCTTTTCCATGTGCCTGTTTTGGGGTACTTCCCCAATAGTTGATATGTTGTTTCCGAATCCAGTCATTTATAAAACCCCGGACTGTACTTTTTGGTACTCCTGGGTTTGTGTCTGGTTCCGATGTTTCTTCTGACCCTCTTTTTGCAAGTTCGTCAGCCTTTTCGTTGCCTTTGATCCCTTTGTGACCTGGCACCCAAAATAGTTTTACTCTATTTCGGTCTGCCAGTGTTCTTAGTTCTTCGATGCATTCCCATACCAGCCTCGACGTAACTTTCTGACTCGATATGGCCTTAAGTGCCGCTTGGCTGTCTGACATTATTTGAATATGCTGATTTTCGACAGCTCTTTCATTGTTCGTTTTTGCACATTGCAAAATTGCGTATACCTCGGCCTGAAATACCGAGGAATGTATTCCTATAGCATAGCTATGGTTAGTATTAGGGTTTTTGGAGAATACTCCTGCCCCAGTGCCTTCCGCAGTCTTAGACCCGTCTGTATACCAGGTTTGTTCCTGTCGTTGGGCATTGGGCTCCCTTATGGTGATCTCCGCTCTTTCCTGTATTAAAACCTCAAAGGGAGTATTAAAAGAGTACCTCTTGGTTAAGTGGTCTGATCTCATGTCTAGCACGTCTCCTGTTACTAACCTTGAGATACTCATGTGACCTGGCCTAATGTCAAGATTTCCCAGTGTATTCCCTAATCTGTAAGCACCTAATCTTGCCTCCCCTTTATATGCTTACAATTATAATACGAAAATATCTAGGTAAATGATATGAATTACAATGTATTGCTAATAAACTATTTTCCTTCAAGACGGGACTAAAACGATTTTTCATAAGAGCCTCATGCAAGGCTTTCAAAGAAAAGTTAACATTAATGTTATGGAAAACTGCTGACAAGTGCAAGCCTTTCATTACTTGTTGCTGCTAAAGTGACGACGGACTTCTGTCACCTGTTGTAATAAAAAAACGACTTCCCAATGCCAGACCTCCCAATAATTTACTTGAAGTAACGTACATGAGTTTAAAGGCCGTTCACTTGCCATTTCAACATCTTTGTTGGGTTATTGGACAAGTATGGAGAACGATGGGGACCGATACTGTGACGAAGTCAATAAATTTTATTTTTAATTAAGCTCAAAAGACGAATCCAAAACTTGGAGGCACAGAATGAAGTCAAAAATATTAGCAAACCGTATGGAGACAACGGAAAGTCATCAAATCTTTAAAGAAAATAATGCTGGAACTTAAGAAAAAAAATTGATTATGGAGGAAAAACAAAATTTTGTTTTGGAAATTTTTGGAAATAATAATGAAATTGTTGAACAATTAGGAAAACCTTGGACAAGACTGTATCTAAATTATTCATCAAAATCTTTTGCAGTTACACTACATTTAATTTGCATTAATCCAATATCATTAAACAAAATAATTGACTAGGACTAAGATAAATCATTAAAAATAATGTTAAATTGTAAAAATCCTGAAATATAATTATCCACTTTTAAAAAGACTTTGTTTTACTGAATTTTTATTCCAATAGAAAAACTACACTTTCAAACAACATAATTATGATACACCACTGGTAAATACTAATGTCAAGTGGCCATCCTTCCTCACTTCCTTTATATTCTGGTGTATTTTTTGGAACCGTTTAATAGTTATGATTATTTATTGCTTTTAATAAAAAAGTTTGTTTTATTTTTATTTTAGTACATGGTATAGTATAATGGAGTCCGTATAAAAAGTATGGTGTTTTATGTGTCGAAACACTATTATTAAGGCCAGGTTTTTTACCTTTGAGTATAGTTGAAAGTAACTGCTTACTAATTAGGCTATAGGTTATAACTCGCTAAAGTTGCCAAGTAACCTAAAGTGTACTTAACGCAAAGATGAAAGAAGAAAATATCAAAATATTAATTTTTTAGATAAATAACTTTCTGATTAAATTACAAAATTTTATTATTCTTGTGT